TTCACAAGGCAATGGATTTGCTTGGCATAATCCGCTATCCATATTGGTAAAGTAACAAAAAATGAAGCAGCATGCGCAAAAAAGAAACCATGTAGAACTCCATCTGTTTAATAACAATAAAAGAGTAAGGGAACCAAGAAACATCCTCATATTATTGATATCTATCAGATTCAAGTTTCTTAGACAACTCATAATGATGGACAACTTGTTTTTGAAAAGTAACCTTATGGAAGAGCAGATCAAGCTAGTTTTGTAGATTCTCCCGTTTCCCTGTTTTTCTTTGGACATAGGTTGTTTTGTATAGGATTGTATATCCTGGCTTTTTTGTGTTATTTTTGTGTTTCTTCGCTTTTGCTTGTCGCAAGGGTTGAAGTTCTTGGGGTTCACCCCTTTTTTGGTGTAATTAATTATTCTTTATAAAATTACCTCTTACCGAAAAAAAATTAATTATACCGTGAAACATTATAGTTACAATATTGAATAAAAAATTTACTATATGTTATAAAATATCAAACAGAAAAAACACTATTCATGGGTATCTGCAATGGACAATAATAAAAATAATAAGTGAGACAAAGAAAGCTTAGAGGCAAAGCAACTTGCAAATTGTTTCCTATGTTCTTGGTAAAACCACATGCAAGCATGAAAAATTGTATGAAATGGGCAATTCAATCTATTATAAATCGTTGGTTAGTACACTTTCTTCATCAACTATTATCTAATAATATTATGCCTTTTTCAGACATAGAAAATGAAGCAACTTGGACACAATTAACGACATGTTTAAAGGGATCATAAAAAAAATCTTTTATTCAAGCCTTAGGATGTGTTTAATATTTAACCGATCTTATAAAAGTATAATAAAAAGCCCCATATTCATAGTGTTTTTTGTTATTGGTGTTACATTTCATGTCATAAGTTTTATTTTTAATATTATTAGCTAGTCTTTATTCTTTCTCATATCAAAGTTATCTTTTTAAATATAGTCCTTATATCCAAATCGTCCTTTCAAAAAAAAAAAAAAAAAAAAATCCTATTGTCTAAGATATGCTTAAGAATGGTTTCAAAGAATATATGAAAACAAGTCATTTATGTGAAAAATGTATTATGTTAAAATATTACCAAATATTTATTAGATATTGTAAATGTTTTTTTTTTTTTTAAAAAAAAATTCTATAGAGGAGTATTTATAAAATGATTCCAAATTTTTTTTCAATTAATTATTTTCTTATTTCAAAAAGGGTTTATTTTATATTGTTAATAAAGATTATTACATTGTTTATATACACCTATGAATTGAGTTGTTCTTTCAATCGAAGGCTGATGCATTTTTTGTCTCCTCATTGAATGAATCGATGTGCTTCCAAATCCCAATTGATTCCATTTGAATTATTTTCCCTCTATGCAAGTACATTGAAACCAATTAAAGTATTCGGGTTTTTTTTCATGGATTTGTCTCGATTCAAATAAAGATTGATGGACTGGTTTGGAGTTGAATCCACAACAAAGGCACAAAAGCTATTGTTTGGGCCGGACGTCACTTGAAGCTCCTTGGTGGTACAGAAACATTGCAATCCATCTACACAATTGACTTTCATTGCTTTACTTTTTTTTAAATATTCATCACATACATTTTATTCTTTTTTTTTTCAAAATAATTTTTCTTTTAAAAATGTCACTGGACTCACACTCAAATCTTAAATATATAAAAATATAACATTCATTTTTTCATTTTTTAAACTCATAAATTTTAAAACTATATCAAATACGACAAGCGTCGAATATGCTCTCTAATTTAGATTTTAAGTTAAGTTTCTTAACATTTTTTCACCCATTTACAAGCATAGTTTTTTTTTTTTTTTTTTTTCTCTTCAATAGTAATACTAAGTAACATATTTTTCTTAGTTTCATCGCCATATTATGATTCTATGCATAATTAGCCTCAATATGAAAACATTTTTCCAACTTCATTCCCCTAACCCTAATTTTACCATATGATCAAGATGTTTGTCAATATACATACTTATAAAAAAGAAAGGTGATGAAATTAGTGAAGGAGCCAGCAAAATTTATTCTGGGAGCCAAAATGTAAATGTTCAATGAATGAGGGATCAGAGAAACAATTAGTAAGTTAAATTTAAAAACTTCCTTATAATCAATTAATATTAAACACACTCATGTTGAGGAGTGTTAAAAATTACCTATTAACCGGATGGAACGAAATTTTTTGAGTATCCGAAAATCTAGTTGGTTTCGAGTAGCTGTTTGATAGATACCCAAATTTTCGATTCGATACCGGTTTGATTTTTTTGCAAAAACTGGGTAACCGAACCGAATTGGTTTTTTGAAAATTTTTATATGAGTGAGGGTAACTCTGACTCTTCACGTATAAAAACCCTAGTATTTCTTCCTTTTCCTTTTCCTCTTTTTTTTTTTCTCTTTCATTCTTCTTTTTCACTGTCACCTCTTCTCTTCTCTACCTCCTTCTTTTCTTCTATCTCCTCCATCTATATTTCTCCATCTCTTTGGCTCTTCCTTCTATTTCTCCTTATCTTTCTCTTTCTCCTCTTCTCTTCTTTTTCACTCTCTCCTCTTCCTCCCCTCATCTTCTTGTCCTCCCAACTATCTCTTCACTTCTCTTCTACACATATCTCTGAAACCCAAGCCAAATTAAACACAATTAAACCAGAAAACCCATAAATCTTCAAAACCTAGACAATCAAACAAAAATCAAAACAATGATGCGCCAAATTGATTAGGATGGTGATGGATGTAAACAATGGGGCTGGAAGAAGGTGAGTTGAATACATGAGGGGTGGCCAAAATGGTGAGGGTGTGTGTGGGGGACGATGGTGAGGATTTGAGGGTGGAGGTGGGAGATGACAGCTTGGGCCAAGGGAAGGTGATTCGTTTATAAATCATAAAACACTTATAAACATGAGTGGACAAGGAATTGCAAGTCTTAACACACTTGCTAATTCAGTTGAATTGAAGAAATTCACTCAAAATCCTAAAACACTTGGTTTGTAGAAAGTGGGGAGCTATGAAAATCAATTGGCCCAAGCAAGTTCAAAGAAAGAGAAAGTCCAAACATTTCAGCCCAAATCACTCCAAGTCCAAGCACAACAAGAGAAGCTCAAGTCCACCAAAAAAGAAGTCCAAATGTTCAAAGTGTCAAATTCGGCCCAATTTGCATTACAAAGGGGAAAATCCACGTGACCCCTTATTGGATCAATTTGCATAATTCTAAAGGCCCAAATTCTTACACCCTTATTAGTAGACATAATTAGGACCATTGATTAGCTTTTAATCTACTAAAAGCAAGCTTAGACAACTAATAGGATGGTTAAAGACATAAATCCTAGAATTAGGAAATTGTCTCTTTTGCATTAAAAAGGCATGGCCTTATTTTTTAAATGAATGACTTGTAACATTTAGCTAATTTTATTTCATTTTCTTGTATTTGTCATTTACTTGTTTATCCTTATATTTGCTTATATAAGGATAACTATTCCATCGTATCACTTAGTCTTGAAAATATGAAAATTGGTTTATCTATTTGAGAGAACTTTTGTGTTCTTTTATTGTGCATTCTTTATCCAAGTCTTAGCAATGAGATTTGGTGGTGAATCAATTCAAGTTAATAGAATAATCATTTATACTTAAAGTGTTTCTACTTGTCTTGGTCCGAAGTGAAATTTTTTTTTTTTGGTTTGTATTTTCATATTTTGGCCGAATTTTAACTTGGAATTATGGCATATTGTGTTTTTGAATTGGTTGGATTTGGATAAAAAGGGGGTGGTGAAGAAGAAGAAAAAGAAAAAATAAAGAAAATGGGGGAGTGGTGGTGAAAAGGAGATAAAGAAAAGAAAAAGAAGAGATTAGATAATAGAAAGAAATTAAAAAAAAAAAAAAAACATTTGAAATTTAGTTAAAAAACCAAAAACCCGAAAACCGAATCGAAAATTCGTTTCGGTTCAAAACCGAGTAATTTCCAAACCGATTCAACTATCGAGTACCCTTAGTCCTTAAAGTCTGACCCGAATATTCAGTTCAGGTCAACCAAATGCAAAACCGGTTTGGGTATCCAATTTTGAACACCCCTACTCTTGCTTGTATACTTCCTTAAAATTATCAAAACCCCTGAAATTATTCAAATTATTATAAATTCTTTTGTAATTTGTAAAAGTATTATAAAAACCCTAATAAAGACATTTTATACTTTCTCATAGTAGTGGTTTATAATGTTAAGATCTAGGTCCGAAAATTCAAATTCAATACAAGTCGTCTTCTACAATTTCAAGATTCGAGTTTATTTCATTTATCCCTGGCATGATAAGGTTACAAACTTTTCAATAACAAGCGATCTCAAAGAGTGTAAATGAAATAAAAACCCTTCAAACATATCCAACTAAACTTGGTAATAGCCATCATCACAATTCTAAATCTTGCACAAGTCATTCAAAGCCACTATTAAACAGATCTAATTTCCCTCTAGATAGAACCAAATTTCTTACATATAGGTAGTACAAGATTTATAATAGAAATCTGTAAATATGTTGAATAAAAGAACAATTTTCTATCATTAACTCTTGTGAAAAGGGATATAATACAGGACTATAACACTAAAAAAAAGGGCAAATGTAAAGCTAAAAAACTGCCAAATGTAGAAGCTGACTGTGGTTCATAACTTATATAATTTACACCTACAATAAACATGGGGGCGTAAAACTGTAACTAAAACAACTATCAATTGTGGTTCAAAGGAGACTAGGAGCATGCTTGGCTCCATTACAAAAGAATATGAGACAACTCTCATGCCACAAACACTAACCTCTCTTGCTTCTCATGGCAGCTTTCAGCATCCTTTCTGTTTTTGGTTTATGCACGAAACGAGAACTGGGAGCACATGTATGTAAGAGTATACACCATTTCTACCTCAACACTGCAAAACATTCTTTCCTTCTGAAGTTGTTTTCACAAGGCAATGGATTTGCTTGGCATAATCCGCTATCCATATTGGTGAAGTAACAAAAAAGGAAGCAGCATGTGCGAAAAAGAAACCATGCAGATCTCCATCTGTTTAATAAAAATAAAAGAGTAAGGAAAGCAAGAAGAATCCTCATATTATTGATATCTACCATATTTAAGTTTCTCAAACAACTCACAATGACGGACAACTTGTTTTCAAAAAGTTACCTAATGGAAGAGCAGATCAAGCTGGTTTTGTAGATTCTCCACCCAATTCTCTTCTAACCAACTTCAGAATCTCAATAATCTGTAGGAAGCAAGTCATCATAAGAAACATGATCTAAAATAAAAAATATTTTCTATTTGAATCCAAACAGTAAGTATTAAAAAAGTATTAATAAATCATATAAATTGTTCTCCCACCGATAGCTACATAAAGTCTAAAATTTGGCATGATTTATATTTGTGGTAATAAAAACATTTTCCTTTTTCTCATTCTTAATGGTTCACACTGTTGGACAGTTGCACTAAACTGTGAAACATAAAAGGAAGCATGAACTTTTTCGTACATCTAAATCCCATTAGACAGTATGGGAAACTACATAGAAAGCATATCAACTTCCATAAAAACTATGAATCATTCAGAGTGCAAATAGAAGAATTTGATAAAGTCTTCTAGGTTTTTTTTTTTAATATTTTAATAAAGAATAACTGATGATAACATCTAAAAGGATACATGATAGCTCATTTCACAAGTCATGTGAATGTTTTATAAATGAAAATATAATCCAGTAATTTGCAAAAATATGCAATGTTAATGATAAAATAGTCAAGTATCACTTGTCACATGAGTAATGATTTCTATAATTGGAGAACTTGCCAACTAAAATACAAGCCACTTTACATTACCACTAGAAAACAGCAGCCATGCACATTGACATATTGAAAAGATAACAAGATGTTTTATTATATGGTTACACAAGGCTTGGCATGTAGACAAACAATAATGTGTATAAATATAAGCCTAATTCGCTTGCAATGGGACAGCTTTATTGGAGACATGGCAACAACTCTCAAGAAAGGCTCAACTATCAAGAAGATTCAAGTAGGCTAATTTAGATGCTTTTCACAGAATATTAAGTAGACATGATTTTTCTAAAAAATTGCAATATCTGGTAGCTGCAATCAAACGTGTTTGAAATTCGATTGAATTGAAATTATTCTTGCCTTGCATTGTGTAAGATAGGCATTGACTTACAGCATTTCAATTAAACGATGGAAGCGAAATAATCACAAACTGTGCTCATGTATTTCAAAACATGAAAGTAGCATAAATGATGGAAACGAAAAGCAACTTACCCCAGGATAATGTTGCAATACTGGAGAATAATGATCAAGTGCTATGTATATTTTCTCAAGCAGGCTCAAAAGAGCATCCACCTCATCACCAAGAAGATCAACCTGAACTCCAAACAGAGAATTTCAGTGAGAGAGTACAGTACAAGGCCATCTCAAGACATATTTGCAAGACAAAAAAATGAATGCAAATATCTTTTTCTCCATGGTCTTCACTAGGCATTTCGAATGAAGTTTCTAATTAAATCTATTTACACTTTTAACTAACAGTTCCAAAAACTTTCATGTAGTCTTTAAATCTTAATAACTTCTGTAAACCAGAGATATAATCAGCAATTTTGAAGTTACGTTGCTATTTGGAAGACAATGATACAAAATTAAGGAAAGAACAACACAATAATAGAGGCAGCAAACAGCTACTAAATTTTTTTGATACCAAATTCCAACATGATGCTGCACATAGCCCTTCATTCTTTGACATCTATAAGTACACACTACGCTTTGACATCAGCCCCACTTTTATCAACTAAGTTCTATAATTTTTATATTTAATCTAACATCTATTAAGTTATTGGGATGAAATTAATAGACACAGGAAGAATTAACCTACAGTCTTCCACAATTTAAACCAACTCATCTTTCTTTTTCTAAACTGATTTCAACCAAATTTGAGAAGCCCCCAACTAAAAGAAAAAGGGAAAGCTAGAAAAAAGAAAGAAAAAAAAAAGAAACAGAGAACTGAGAGAAGGCTGCAGAAAATTTCTACGCAACTCATAAACTCCAAAGTTAGTAATTTGTAATATTCAATCAGACAAGATTTGGTTTTAACTTTTTCTGGATGGATCATTACTGAGAAGTGAGAAGTATCTACAATTTAGGGAATATAACACATAATCAGTATCCCAAAACTGGCATCTAAGCAACCATTCTACGATTTAGAATTATTACAAAATGAATACACATTGCATACTTATAAGGGATGACACTGATTTAAACAACCTAAATTCTCAACTGTGAGTGATTGCACATAGCCCTTTTTTAACTAATGGAAGTATACACAAATTCAGTCACAATATTTTCAAGCCCTCAAAACAGTTTAAGTTAGCAACAAATACAGCTCTATGCCTTCTACAACAAAATATGAATTAAAAGAACACAAACTCAAATTAAACAGATCAATGTGCAGTACTTCCGACAAATGTGAACTTTTCAACATACCTCAGCTTCAGCCTTTTGAAGGTCAGAACTCCTCCTTTCAAGCTTCTGTCTGTACATCAACCCCGTGCCTTTGATTACTTTAGCTTTCTGAATAAGAGCTCTCAATGGAGAACTCAAATTGTCCAATCTAAAAGAAATGACATACGCATACATGGTTACATATCAATACACTAATTCACAATTCATCTAAAAACTCAATGAGTGCTTATATATGGAATAACAACTGAAGCCTGAAGATTAGAAGAGAATCAAATTCAATTACAGTGATACTCAACAGATAAAAATTTCAGACAGAATACAAAATTTACTGTGTCTTATTGAAAAAATAAAAAAATTATAATATTTTATCAGTCTTGAGGACTCATATTTATATAAATTACAGCCAAAACTTCACTTGATTACAGGATTAAAACACAATAGTGAAAACAGGGTCTAAAGAAGACTAAAGAAAAGATGGGAAGTTTTCAGGTAAATCATGATTTCCACTCACTCAAAATTTAGGCAAGTCATAAACAACAGTCAATGACCTAGGCAACACAGGCTGACTGAAGCATAACATGTCTGAACAGGAGCCCCTTTTTTTTTTAGACTATAAGCATCAACATCATCAGTCATTTAGTAAGTCATAAATAGAAGCATATGTGATTTATGCATACCTAGAAGATTAAACAAAACATCTACAATCTGGAGACCATGCAAAAAACAGAATCAGCCAAGGCCATAATTTTTGTTGATAGCTCCATACAGATTATAAATACAAAAAAATAAAAGACAATTTTAACTATGTACCTCATATTACTTTTTGCAATATCATCCATTACTCTGCATTCAAAATCAGCTAATCTCGTGTATAAACACTGAACAAGAATGGTCAAGGATTGTATTTGCCTCTTATGCTCCCTTTCTTTAGCTTCAACCAATGATGTGGAATTTTGCCTCTCTTGGGTAACAGACAGGAGTGTCTTCCTTTCTTCGTCAATTTCTCTAATCTCATTCATTTTCAGTGTAAATTTGTGCTTTAGGTCATGCAACTCCAACTTGTATCCTTCAATCTGTTCCAATGCTATGCTCAATTCACGTTTCATGACATCAGATTCTTTACTACTTTCAGAAATTAACATTTCCTGTCGACTTGTCTCATTTCTTAAATTGTTCAGCTCTAGAGAAACCAACTCAAATTGCTCCTTTTCTTTCACCAATGCAGCTGCTGCTTCCTGGGCTAATTTTTCCTTTTCTTCCATCAATGACGACAATAAGAATGTCTCTTGCTTTAGTTTTTCCTTCTCAAAAACCTCCAAATTTAATGCCTCTTCTTTTTGCAATGCTTCGGTTTCAACATGAACTCGAAATTCATTTTCTTTAATATATTTCAGGTTCATGTCGAAAAGTTTCTCTTCAGCTTCCTTTAAGGATTCTTTGAATATTACTGTACACAGCTCTTGCATAATAATGGATTCCATAGCTGAATCTTCAAAATCATAAATGCTGCTAGATTCGGTGACACTGCTATTAGAGTTCACCACACCCCTGAGAAAGCATTTATACACATCTTTAGTAATTGAAGCTTCAATACAAGCATCTTCAAGAGCACACTGAAGATGTCCAATTCTCTTTACCAAGTTTTCCTCAGCAACAGAGTGCTGCAACATTATCTCTGCAGTATCAGAAACTTGAGAAGACAGGCGTTTAACTTCTCTTTTCTTATCAGTAATCATGCCCCTCAACTGGCGATTATCTGAGAGAAGGGATTCCAATCTATCCTTTAAACAGCAAAGACTCTCAGCATTCTTACTAAATGGATCTAACTTCTCGTTTTCTAAAAGAATATCATCCAATTTCAAAATTACCTCTGGAATCTTTTTCCTCAATGCATCAAACTCTTTATCCTTCTTAAATGGCAAAGAAGACCCTCTTTCTCTCAAGTATTCTCGCTTAAGGCTGAAATATTCTTCAGTCATCTCTTGCACTTTAAGTTCATGGGTTCTCTTCATTTTTGTCATTTCGGCCTTAAAATAATTCACCAATTCTTCTTTTGTCATGTGCTTCAGTTGGGCATAGTCCACATTCTCTGGCACAACAATTATTGACTCATCGTGCTTCCCATTACCCTCCCAAAGAGAAGCTGATAACGAAACATGATTTCCTGAAACTTTACGATGTAAATGATCAGTCCTTTTATTGTTATTACATTCCTCGCCAATCTCCATTGACCCATGAGAAGATATATGTCCAATTTCTGGAACAGACAGTGATTTGGAAATGGCATCCAATTCCTGACGTAAACTTGAAATCTCTTTGATCTTCTCAAACCAGCTTAAATTTTCATTATCATAAAACCAAGCATTTTGATCCCACAATCTTTCTTCAAGCTCTTCTTTGAGACCCCTAATACAATTCATGATTACCATATCTTCAATCTCTCCTTGAAACCCCTTCTCCTGCTGCAATTGACAGAGTGATGTTTTTGACAAGTAAACCATGTCATCCACCTGCTTGCATATCATATTTAGTGTAGTTCTCAAGGAATCAAGTATTTTATCCACATCCATCCATTTTATGTCAGATACCTTGTCTTGTAGAATACCACCCAATCCTACCATCTCAGAACCCAAACCTATCCTCATCATAGAACAGCTTCCTCTTATGCGGTCAATTTCTTTTGTAAGGTTCTTCAACTGCTTTTTAGCCACATCTTTAAGGCTAACCAGAGATTCTCCTATCCCATTGGAATCAAATGACCCATTTGACAAGCCCGAATATGGTTTTTCACTTCGTGGCTCATGCTGCATCACCAAAGACCCAGATGATTCACTTTCATCAGCACCCACATGGTAAAGATTCAATGTTTCTTTCAATCTGGCCAACTCCAGTTCTTTCTCAGCAATCTTTTGAGCTGCCTCCTGTTCAACTGCACTCACCATGCCTTTGATAACCGAATCACTTACCATCCTCGAAATGGTCAAACGATCATTGATATCTTCCCAATATGAATCCAAATCCTCAAGCAGCTCATTCTCTGGATTCTCACTCTCTTTACCATCATCATCAACCATCATTGACACATGAACTGCCTCACCACCATTAGAATTGACATGACCATTTCCAACTCTAAAATTCTCCAACACAATAGGCTTTTCCATCGCCATTAAAAAGCGCAACTCCAAATCCCACAACAACTCTGCACACCCAAATCCCACAATCAATTCAACTCAATTTGCAATCTCATCAACCACAACCAACAAAATTAAAAACAAAAAAAAAGGCAAGTAATCAAATATTCACGTTCCACTTTTTCTTAAAACTTTACTTCTAAAATATTTTAAAAAAGAAGAAGAAGAAGCTGGATCATTTAAAGTCTAAACAAGTTTAGCTCACAAAGAAGCACTATACTCCATATTCTGCTTAATTTTGTTTCTTTTCCGCCATTTTCGCATATAAACCCAACCCAACTAAACTAAAGTGTAAATCCCATAAAGCACACACACGGAAAACTACAGTAAACTAAAACTTAAGCTCAATTACTATATAAACAAGTTCAAATTACAGCTTGAAACAAAAACCAACACCAAAAAAATAAATAAATTAAGTAAAGCAAAATTACTTACAAGTAGAGAAGATTTCAGTCCATATAAACTTAAAGCTGAGAAAAAGAGTTCGAAAATCCCAAGAATAACCTCGAAATTTTCAAAAAGCTGCTCTCTCTTTCTTCATTCCACTCTTTGTCTCTCTGGTTTTGTAGTGCTTTCAAGTGTTTTCAGTTTTAGGGTTTTTCTGAAGATAGAAAAAGTGAAGCCAGGATATGGTGAGCGGGAGTCAAAAGCGAAAAATTAAACCTTGGTTTTGAGTTTAATTACATAAATAGCCCTCGTTGTCTGGAATTCTGCGTTTAAAATTTGTCTTATTAAGAAAAAAAATCAGTGTGATGAAATTATAAATTTATAATATAATTATGTAATATTTTATATTATATTATATAATTTATCTTTATTTATTTGGATTTGACCTAACGTTTTTAATCGGAGAATTATCTATTATATTAAATTAAATTTTATAATATTAAAAATAAGTAGTAACTTGTAAGATAGAACATAAAATTTAGTACATGAAACATGCAAATTTATTATTATTTTATTTTCCATGAAAATTAAAATATTGTATAATTTATTGAAATAATTATGAGTAAATTAAAAAATTGTTAATCGTGGATCAACAATTTTTTTTTTTTTAAATGTATACTTAATCCAATTTTTTAAAGTTTTAATATTAAAAATAATTTAAATTAAATAAATTGTGAGTAGACTGATTAGTTTGAACAACTTAATTGGAGCTTTAAAAAAACCCTCAATAATAATAATCCACCAAATTATTTATTCAATTTAACTAAATAAAATAAATGGGTGAATATTTAAATCAAGTAGTTTATTTCTAACCTAAACAGCTCATTGTCACCTTTTATTATTAAATGGAGGTTGTTCAATTAATAAGTAACTTTAATCATAATTAATTTCTTTTTTTAAAGAAAAAAACAAATTTGGGTGGTGGGCCTGGTGGTGGGCCAAGCTGCCAATTCAGAGTATCACTTTCCAAAGTTAAAGTAGTACTTTTATTATGGGAAGGAATTTGGTTTAATTCATTGGGGGAATAAAATTAATTAATTAGTAATCATTTATGTAATCATGTGTTCATTCATTATCATAATTAAAGTCTTTGTTGGTAAATTTAGTTTTGAAAATGAACTGACGGAACACTTGTGTCCACTAATTACGGAACTTATTTTCGTAAAGCAAGCTGCAAAATCAATTACACATGCCAATGAGAACTGAAATAGTGGTAATGAGAGTTATAATTAAAGTTAACGACTTTTTTCAACCCAAGGTTTGCTTTAATAATACATTTTCACTCAAAAAATTTTAAAATACAACTTTTTCACCCAAGATTTATATTATGTTAATACATAAAATACACTTCATTTTCTCAAATGACATTCGATGGGTTATCAAGAGCGAAGATAAGGGAGGTTTTGTAGAGTAGAGGCCGGTAGATCGAATAGTAGTGATTGATTAAATATTCACTATCGGAAATAAGCTAAAAATAAAAAACCCTAGTTTTATAGTGGTCGTCAATCGGCGAGAAATCAGGTGTTGTAGTGAAAGGGGTTTTGTATAGAGGAGATCGAAGGTTCAAATGGTGGCGACAGAAAAAAATTTCGTGACCAGAATCGGTTGTAATCACCTTTAGGTGGTAACAAAATATAAACTTTGGGCCAAAAAAAATGATATTTTAAAACCTTTTGGGTGGATAAAATCATTAAGGCAAACCTTTGGTGGGAAAAAGTCGTTTACTCTTATAATTATTATTAGAGTTAAAAAAACATAGTCAAGTCATTTTATATATATGTTCATTATTTCTTAAAATTAAAACCAAATTAGTTTGTGTGGACTATCTACTAAACAAATTATCTTTTAATAAACAATAAAAAGACTATGCATGTGAACTAGGTATTCACATGGTGAAGATTAGAGAGAGTTTGTTTTTCTATACAATAAAGCTAGGGACACCGAAAAAACTGTACCAAAATTGTGTACCGACTTACGTGTAACACGCTTCTGATTTTTTTAACAATTTTTTTCTAGTGAACGACCGTCCATCAAATTTGGACGGCCGTTCACTCACATGGACGCCCGTCCATATTATATGGACGGGGTCCATATACCAGGGACGGGTGTCCCCAATTAAAGGACGCCCGTCCATAAGTAAAATGGAATAATTTTTTTTTATAAAAATTAGGGACGGCTATCTCTTCATTTTGGACGGGCGTCCCTTATTCAAAATATGAAAATAAAAAAAGAAAAAAATTTGGAGACTGTCGTCCATACATTTTGGACGGCCGTCCCTTAAGTTTGGACGGGCGTCCCTTAAGTTTGGACGGCCGTCCATTAAGTTTGGTCCATACTTTAAAAAAAAAAAAAAACATTCTAAACACCTTTCTTCTTCGCTCTTCTTCTTCGTCTTCATTCCCATCTCCTCTCTTTTTCTTCGTCTTCATTCCCCCAGCCTCACCTTCCTGAACATTAGTACCTCGGATACAATCCAGCAGCTTTGCTTTACCAGTATCAACATGGCCCATAATGTATTCTCAGACATTCCACTTGCGTGGACAAGGGCTCTTCTTGTCTGCTCAGTGCAACATGGACCAGCAAAGCTCTTTTCATTATTTTGGGTTGTTTCTGGGGATGCAGGAGAAGGGACCAGTGATTTTTGCTGTGGATTATGAGTTTGCGGCACGGTCAAAGCCAACTGAGGAGTTTGTTAGCAAATACAAAGGTAACTATACCTTCACCGTAGGAAAGGCAGTTGGGTACAGGAACTTATTTGCCATACAATGGACCTCCTTCATGGCTGAAGACAATCTTTACTTCATAAATGGAATACTCCATCTTAGGGCTGAGCTTACCATCAGACACTAACTCTTTGCTTTCCGTTATTCACCGGGCTTCCTAATGAAATTGATTTTTGTAGCACTGACCTCTTTCATCTCTCAACTAGAACTGAACTTAAAATTGTAATAAGTAGGCACAACATGCACTAGATACAATGGTATGGAGGTTGAGATACAATTAGAAAATCCCCTTTGCTCTAGGCTGAATCGTGCTTGGAAAGTTCCTGTACCCATGGTATGAATGAGGTCCATTGTATGAAGCCAAAATCATACCATTTGGTGCTGTTGGCGAAGATGATTTTGCTCAATTAAGCTTAATAACTATATTCTTCTGTTTATCACTGTCACCGTTAAAAATTATTAGTTCCCACGAGATATTTATTACTTGCATTTACCTATGGCTTTGTTTATGAATTCACTGTGTTTTTTTCATATTTATCGCACCTTCTTCACTTGCCTCCATGGAAACTTTATTGCATAGTCGTTATTTTCAGGTAGTTTTTGATTATGATGACCAAAAGAAGATCCTTTTTTTTGGGTCAGGAATAGAAGAAAAGACAAATGAGACAGTGAAGTTGAGGTATATAATACAGTTAGAGCCCATTTTCCTTTTTTTGGTTATCAAATATTTCTCAAAAATCATGTGATCATGTAGGAGTGATACGATAGGCGAGGTGGCAAACCAGCCAGTCCACATACCATATTGTATACCAAAAGTTCCAAGCAAGTTCTATTATTATTTTGGAAAACCAATTCAAACACAAGATATATATGCTCCTTTCATTTCCTACCCTTACATAATTATGTTCATCAAACAATATAAAGTTCAAGGGAGGGAGAGTGAATTAAGAGACGGGAAGAAGGCTCAGGAATTGTATTTAGAAGTGAAATCAGAAGTTGAGAAATGCCTTGCTTATTTAAGGGAAAAAAGAGAGAAAGATCCTTACAGGAATATATTGGCTCGTTTTATTCACCAGGCCACTCATGGCTTTACCCACGTTTGAGCTTTGATATGAAGGACCTCCTTCATACCATGGGTACAGGAACTTTCCAAGCACGATTCAGCCTAGAGCAAAGGGGATTTTCTAATTTTATCTCAACCTCCATACCATTGTATCTAGTGCATGTTGTGCCTACTTATTACAATTTTAAGTTCAGTTCCAGTCGAGAGATGAAAGAGGTTAGTGCTACAAAAATCAATTTCATTAGGAAGCCCGGTGAATAACGGAAAGCAAGATTTGCCTATGGTAAGCTCAGCCCTAAGATGGAGTTATTCCTTTATGAAGTAAAGACTGTTCTTCAGCCATGAAAAGGTCCATTGTATGGCAAATAAGTTCCTGTACCCAACTGCCTTTCCTCCGGTGAAGGTATAGTTACCTTTGTATTTGCTAACAACCCTCAGTTGGCTTTGACCGTGCCGCAAACTCATAATCCACGCAAAAATCACTGGTCCCTTCTCCTGCATCCCCAGAACAACCCAAAACAATGAAAAAAGCTTTGCTGGTCCATGTTGCACTGAGCAGACAAAAGAGCCCTTGTCCACCCAATTGGAATGTCTAGAAACATTATGGGCCATGTTGATACTGGTAAACAAAGCTACTGGATTGTATCCGAGGTACTAATTTTGAGGAAGGTGAGGTTGGGGAATGAAACGAAGAAAAGAGAGGAGATGGGGAATGAAGAAGACGAAGAGCGAAGAAGAAAGGTGTTTAGAATGTTTTGATTTTTTTTTTTTAAAGTATGGACGGGCGTCCATTAGGAATGGACGCCCGTCCAAACTTAAGGGACGGTCGTCCCCAAATTTTTTTCTTTTTTTATTTTCATATTTTAAATAAGGGACGGCCGTCCCTAATTTTTATAAAAAAAAATTATTCCATTTTACTTATGGACGGGCGTCCTTTAATTGGAGACGCTCGTCCATATAATATGGACGGGCATCCATGTGAGTGAACAGCCGTCCAAATTTGATGGACGGCCGTTCACTAGAAAAAAATTGTTAAAAAAATCAGAAGCGTGTTACACGTAGGCCGATACACAATTTCGGTGCAGTTTTTTCGGTATCCCTAGCTTTATTGTTTCTTATATTACATTATGAAAAAGTTAATATGAGTGTATAGAGAAAGACTTGGACCACCTTTTTGTCTTTCTTCAACATTAATATAAAGTATTCTTTTCTTTCTTATTATGTTCTTGAATTTGTTGAGGAATCCTAAACTGTTATGATTCCATACAATTGAATCCTCATTATCTTATTGCGTCACATTGTCACAACAACTTACTTAACTTACTAGTAGGAAGATTTGACATATATGATATACAATATCCTAACAATAATGTTTAATATCAATTATA